CAGGATCCTTGACACGGATGTTGGTAAAACCTTGATGATTATGGAAATGCCCAAGTTCTTGAGAGCACGCACAAGCGCTAGGTGTTATCTTCGGCACTAACTGGGTTTGCTCTCAGCTTCCTCGGTTATGCTATAACTTTTCAAACAGTGGATTCACTCTCTATTGTTGGGTTCTTCCCCAGTTACCAGAATCATTCCCAGCATTTGCATTTTGTTCCCAGCTTGCACCGCCAATGTGCCATTCTACCATGGGTCCCTTCCATTTCCGGTGGTAAGCAAATTCATCCAATACGTTGTCTTCAACAAGGTAATCCACATCATCCAAGTCCGAGTATGCCATTCTACCGACCCCCTCCAAACGATCGCTCGAGAATTGCCTTAGACTGGTTTAAAGAGTTTCAATGATCTCTGAATCAAAGATAATTCTTTTTGCCACTAAGGGGATATCTCTACGAGTCACCTTCCCTAAGGTGCCCCGTTATGGTATCATGGCAACTCAACTCCTCGCTACGTTGACAACCGTTCACCACCTTCTTAAGCGTGAAAATTGTTGTCTACCTAGTGAACCTTCGTCGTCTGCTACACCCCCTTCCTATGGATGTGTGCTTCGCATCTCAGCTCGTGAGATGTTTCTATGTCTCATTCCGTGAGTTAATCCTGAGTTGTTCGATCTTCGAAAAGATCAGTCCTTCTAGAGTCCCCTTCTCCTCTCATTGTCATGTTGGCTGGAGTTCTCAGAGCATCACGATGAGACAAAGATGGTGATTGAATCAACGTTCATTTGAAGTGCAACCTGGATCGTGAAGATTGTGCTAGTTGCGTTCCCCCTTCACCTTACCCTACGCTTAAATCTCGGGACGAGATTTTGTTTAGTGGGGGTGAGTTGTCACATCCCTAGTTCTGGCCTGACCTATGCTTGTTTCCATGTGTGCATCATGTTTAAATTCAAATGAAATTTGAATTGAGGAATTTTCAAAAGCCTCAGGAAACCTCTAAAAATAACCAACATTTAAATCTTCTCAAATGAGTCCAAGAAAATGTTCCTGTTATTCCATAGAAATATTGGTAAGAGGTAAAATTCAAACCAATATTTTTGGAGTCACAGAGATATTTATTTTGGCCATTTGAATTAATCCAATAACTATTTGCTTTGGATTTATATTTAATATATATTAAATATGACTCCAATAATTCTGGAAGTTTGTGAGTGGCTTTGTATATATTTTAGCAAGCCACATAAAAACCTACAGAATTTATAAAAAATGATTTAGTGTCTGAAACTAAATCAAAACAAACTGCAGAAAAAAGAAAAGAGAAAGAAAGAGAGAGAGAACCCACCTGGACTTACCTGGCGCCCACCAACCGGCCCAGCACTGCAGCTGGCCGGCCTAGCCCACCACTGCAGCCCCTCCGTCGTCTTCCTCCCCTCGCCCCGAAGCAGTTGCGTGCCCGCACGCGCACGGCCGCGCCGGCCACCTCCTCCCTCCCTGCCTGCCTGGCCCCTCTCCGATGCGCCTAGACGACGCCACGGAGATGCCGAACCCCCTCGACCTCGCCATCACTCTCCCCGTGGCCCTCCTCTCCTCTGCTTCCTCTCTCTCACTCGCCCGAACGCAGCCGTCGCCGCCGACGAGCTCCCCCACGGCCACAGCCACCCCCTCGCTCCCTCTCCGCATCCCTGAGCTCCGTCCCGACCCCGTGGAGCTACACACACGACGCATGCGACCCCGGGAGGCCAGCAACGTCGCCATCGCCATCGTCTTCCACCTCGGGCTCCGGCCGCCATCATCGTCGGTCCGCCGCACGCAGGACGTCCCCGAGCCCGCTAACCATCCCTACGGCACCGCTGTGAGCTCCGCCATCGTTTCCCCCTCTTCCCCTCTTCATTTGATTGCCGTAGCCGTCGCCCCCTTGATGACCGGAATGCACCACCGCCTGAGCTCGCCGTCGATGATGCTCCGGTGACCATATGGTCACCCTGGAGTGTCCAACCTACACCTCGCGATGAGTAGCGTCCTCCTAGCCCCTTGCCCCGCTCTTCTACGAACTGAAACGCAATCTCGCGCGCAACCGAACTCCGGTCGCCGCCTAGGTCGTCGCCGGCGCCAACTCCGGCCACCCCGACCCCAACGGACTCCACCAAGAGCCGCGGTTCGTCCTCAGCTCCACCCCGATGCCCTCCGTGACCCATTTTGTGGCCGGAACGGCCAAAACCACTTCCGCCGCCGCGTCGGGCTCGCCGGCGGCTAAATGCCGGCGCAGCTGACGTTGACTTTGACCACGGGTGGGCCCTGGTTGACTCCGATGAGTCACTGACAGGTGGGGCCCAACCCTGTTAATTAACCCAGTTTAGTTTTAATTAAATTCTAACTAAACTAATTACACTGACACGCGGGACCCACTGTCAGGTTTGACCCGGACCGTGTCCCGTTGACCCGCTGATGTCACACTGAGGTCATGCTGACGCAATAATTCCTTTCTGGAATTTAAATAAACCTTAAATGATTTATTATTTCCAGAAAATGTTTAAAACTTGTAAAATTCATATAAAATCAACCGTAACTCCAAATGAAATAAATTATATATGAAAAATGATCAGGAAAATCCAATCTATCCATCTATACTGGTTTCATGCATGTTAGAACAACTTATAGGTGCTGTTTAGCACAAATCATATTAATGGCATTTAAATATCCACATATGGAGTTTGAGTTTGAATCTTGGATTCAAACCAACTTCATTTAATCTGGTTTTAGTTGCATTAGCACAAACCACAGCATATTGCCATGTCACATTCATGCATCATATTGTGCATTGCATTGATTGTGTTTTTCCTCAGTTGCCGGTGATTGCCCCCTCTCGATAGACGTGATACCGACGATGTGATCGATGACACCGATGAAGAGCTATATTATCTTCAGAAGTGCCAGGCAAGCAAAACCCCCTTGTTCATTCCGATAAAATCCCACTCTCTCGCTCCTGCTCTCTTTTACTGTATTAGGACAACAACGATTCATCTGTTACTTGCTGCGGTAGTTGAACCCCTTTATCCTCTGCATGACCTGTCATTGCCACAGTAAATAGATGAAACCCACTAGCATGAGTAGGAGTTGTCTGAGCCCTGTTGTGCCTACTCATTCATGCTTGTTTGTCATGCCTGCTACTGCTTAGAGTTGAGTCAGGTCTGATTCATCGGGGATGAATCAGAGGTGTGTGAACATGTCCTACTGTTGAGTGCTAAGTGTGTGAACACGATTTGGTAAAGGTAGCGGTGAGAGGCCATGTAGGAGTACATGGTGGGTTGTCTCATTGCAGCCGTCCTCAGGAACTGAGTTCTGTGTTTGTGATCCATGAACAGCTACTACCACACATTGGGATCCTTAATTGACTCTCTCAACTTATTAATCAACATGATCTCTGTCCAGGAGTTGCAACTAGTTTCTGGTGTTTGTAGGTAGTGTTAGTAGTCTACCAAGTGGCACCCGGTACAGGTGGGCTTGGGACAGACTAGGCACAGTGGCACGGTGTACCAAGTGGCACTCGGATGGTGGGCTTGGGAACCCTGCTCACATCGTTTGGGGCCGTGAGCGACACCCCGGCCGGATCTCCTTGCGGATGGAACCCGAATAGGCGATAAACCTGGACGAGAGACTTGTATGGTTAGTCAGGTCGTGGCCGACTCCCTCGCCCGGCTTCCGCTTGAAGGTTGCTGAGGTACATGACGTGTACAGGGCGATAAGTGGCGAGAGCGTGTGTGAAGAAGTACACCCCTGCAGGGTTATCATTATCTATTCGAATAGCCGGATTCCTCGGATATGGAAACTTGGACCCCTTGCATAGTTCATAGACAAGTGAAAGTGGATACTCTAAAATACGCAAGATAAGCGTGAGTGCTATGGATGGCGTTCTCGCAGGGAGACGGGAGCGGATCCATAGTGGTGTATTGATATGGTGAATATTTGGACTCATGTGCGCCACCTCAAAGAGTTACATTGCGGTCGTAGTTCAAGTTAGCCACCAAGTCAAAGCTGGCTTGCTGCAGTTAAACCCCACCATCCCCTTGTTGATAATGATGCATATGTAGATAGACCTGATGTAAGTCTTGCTGGGTACATTTGTACTCATGTTGCTTAATTTATGTTTTTGTAGAGAGACTTCAGTCTCGCTAGTAGTACCTCGTGGACTTCGACGTTTAGCTTGTTACCTCAGCTACGATATTGTGCCCTCGGCAGGATCTGGTAGATAGTCAGGCTTCTCAGCCTTTTTCATTTATAGTTGTCTGTACTCAGACATGTTAAGCTTCCGCATGTGCTTTGACTAGTATGCTCTGATTGTTGGGTCATGAGACCCATGTTTGTAATATCTCGCTCCTCGGAGCCTATTGAATAAACTACTTGAGTCGCAGAGTCATTTTGTGATGCCATGTTGTATTGCACATATCGAGCATATTGTGTGTATGTTATTGAAATGCTTGGTATGTGTGGGATCTGACTATCTAGTTGTTTATCTTTAGTAGCCTCTCTTACCGGGAAATGTCTCCTAGTGTTTCCATTGAGCCTTGGTAGCTTGCTACTGCTCCGGAACACTTAGGCTGGCCGGCATGTGTCCTTCCTCGTTCCAGTGTCTGTCCCTTCGGGGAAGTGTCACGCATTGAGTACCGGAGTCCTGTTAGCCCGCTACAGCCCGGTTTACCGGAGTCCTGCTAGCCCAGAGCTACAGCCCGGACCCACTTGCTGATGACCGACACGTTCGATGCTGGGTCATGGATGCCTGTCCCTGTAAGTTTGTGCCACTTTGGGTTTACGACTAGCCATGTCAGCCCGGGCTCCTTATCATATGGATGCTAGCGACACTATCATATACGTGTGCCAAAAGACGCAAACGGTCCCGGGCAAAGGTAAGGCGACACCCGTGGGAATACCGTGCGTGAGGCTGCAAAGTGATATGAGGTTTTACATGCTAGATCGATGTGGCATTGAGTCGGGGTCCTGACAGGGAAGCCATTGGCCAATGTAGTATTCAAGACGTGCGGCTACATAAGCATGGGGCAGGCACTAACATTCGTGTCGGATTTCAAGCTTGGGCATTACATGAAGATACCCCAAGGTCCATGTTCTTAGTGCAATTAGCTGGGACCGTCACGGCGTCAACGGTGCACTTTGCGACTGCGTGGTGCCTACTAACAACAGTGAAGAACGTATGTGATGTGGATGCCCTACTGGAGGGTAGCCCTTGGACGTGTCCAGGAGATGACGTCTTTTACAACACATCCATCATCTGGGGTGTCATTGGACCTCTGCGTATGTTTGGCCGCCTTGGAAACTACTGGCAGATGAACTACTTCTTCCTCGCCGGGATCATTGCACCGGTGCCCATTTGGCTGCTTTGTCGTCGGTACCCGCACAACACTTTCCTCAAAAGCATCAGCATTCCACTCATCTTCGACGGTGCCGGTGGACTCCTTCCGGCACGATCTGTCAACTTTATCATGTGGGGACTCGTAGGCATCATATTCAACCACTTCATATACAGACGATACAAGGCATGGTGGATGAGGCACACCTACGTGCTCACTGCAGGGCTCGATGCCGGTGTCGCATTCATGGGAGTGCTCACATTCATATCGTTAGGCTACTTTGACATCTATGGAGTGAGGTGGTGGGGTGGTGTAGCCGATGACCACTGTCCTTTGGCGTCATGCCCAACGGCACCAGGAGTGATAGCCAAGGGATGCCCAGTTGTCAAGTGACCCTATCTCCATCAACATGTACAGTAATTACAATGATAGACATTAGGAATTGTTTTCATGTTTCTATATCATTTACAAATGGCAATAAGAACATGTGGAAACATGGTAGACTTAGTCTTTTGTAGTTGTATCTAATTTTATGTAGATTGGACTGTTGTGTTTAAGGGGAGCTTTCGCTGACTCAAAATATGGTAGGCATAGTATTTTGTAGTTGTATCTAACTAGTAGGGTCACCCAGGCATTTGCGCGGCTCAAGTTATTATTATTTATGTGTGTGTGTGTGCGCGCGCGCGAGAGAGAGAGAGAGCTTCATCTGGGGGTGAGCAGGTGTGCCTCTCAAATAGTGGTGATGCATGTGGCTCCTCAAACCCCGGTTCCCCTCCAGCACCTACTAATAGCCCCCTTTGTTGGACCCAATCATCCTCGTTTCAAGATGTCATGCAGTGACTGGTAGTCAGGGCGCCCATACCCCAACTATCTCTTTCCAGCTCCTGGGGCTCGCCGCGAATCCCACACACGCATGTCTGGTAGAGGCACCATGGAAGCACCCCCTACGGCCGATATATGGCACATTGTAGATAAAGGAGGGTGTGTCATCTATCAGTGCCCCACCCTATCCCGCCCCATGTCTTGATTCACAGCTCCCTGCCCCTGCCTCACTTTTTGTCGGCCATAAAAACCACCTAAGGGGTTGCTACTTCTATTGCCTCACAAACAAGCACTAGGTAGCCTTCTGCATGAATGAGGTGCAGTGCCTCCACTAGTTTATGGTTGTCGCAAGAAGGTGCACGCCTAGAGATCTACCCGCAATGGTCATCTCGTCACCCAACCATGATTTGGTTTGCCCACCATCGTATCCTCTTGACCCCCCTCCACTGCTATTGCTCCCCTCATCTATGTAGCATAACAATATGTTAGAATAAACTAAATTTCATTTATGTGTTATGAAGGGAAGTAAGGTGTCATGAAATAGAATAAATTTCTGTAGGTCGGTAAGTCATTGTTGAAATGAATAGAGGCTCGGGGACATAATGATGCTTGCAAGAAATAGTGTAGAAAAATTAGGCGTCTGCTCCATCCATTACCAGAGTGCATAATACGCACTTAACGAACAACATATGTGGGCCAACAAACCATTCGAAATTCTATGCCTAAGAAGAAATATGATTAAGAATGGTCCAGGTGAATGGCTACGGTGTCGGCCGGGCGCGCGCATGTGATGTCTACTATGCAACTTTATTCTTGTAGACTCATGTTGGGCCTCCAAGCGCAGAGTTTTGTAGGACAGTAGCAATTTTCCGTCAAGTGGATGACCTAAGGTTTATCAATCCGTGGGAGGTGTAGGATGAAGTTGGTCTCTCTCAAACAACCCTGCAACCAAATAATAAAAAGTGTCTTGTATCCCCAACACACCAAATACAATGGTAATTTGTATAGGTGCACTAGTTCGGCGAAGAGATGGTGATACAAGTGTAGTAATGATAGTAGATATTGATTTTTGTGATAGTGACAATAAAAAACAGCAAGGTAGCATGTAACAAAAGTGAGCACAAATAGTATTGCAATGCTTGAAAATGAGGCCTAGGGTCTGTACTTTCGCTAGTGCAATCTCTCAACAATGCTGGTCTAATTGGATCATATAACCATCCCTCAACGTGTGATGAAGAAGCTGTAAGTGCATCTAGTGCCACCCCTAGTTGGTTTTGGAGTATTGACGACAAACCTAGTTGAGGGACTAATGTGTTTGTGAGAATTGCAGGATAACACAGGTAGAAGTCCCTCATTGATTCGGCTTTCCTACCAGAGATGACCCCTAAAAATGTATGAAGACATTGAAGTCAGAGGTGGTATGTGAAGACATTCACATTGAAGACTATGATAAGAGAAGACATCGCGTGAAGACTATGGAGCGCGAAGACTTAGCAGTTTCGTCGTTCTGTGTTTTTCTTTATTGAGTCATAGGAACCACCGTACTGTTAAGTGGGGTCCAAGAGAACCAGTCAGAATGACTGAAGTGATGCTTAACCAAAATCCTATGTCTTCGAGTGAAGACTATGAGAGCAAATCTTGTCCAGAGTTGGATAAGTCAGCTTTGCTTGTAGTCCAAGTTAAGTTGCCGTGTGTGTTTGAAATCTGACCGTTGGAACACGTGTCAGTTCCTTAGTGACCAAGGGTCATTTCGGACAAACCAGGTTGGGTTGCCCAGTGGCTATAAATAGCCCACCCCCTACAACCATAAAAGGTTGGCTGCTCAAAGTTAGAATACGGCTTTTGTCGTTTGAGAGCAACCCACCTCGAAGCCTTTGAGAGAGAATTCCTTGCGAGGATAAAGCTCTAAACACCCAGAGCCAAAGAGTGTTAGGCATCACTTAAGTGTTCCTGTCTGTGTGAGCTGAAGACTTATTACACTTGAGGACTGTGAATCCTCCAGCCGGTTAGGCGTCGCGTTCTGAGCATCCAAGAGTCATTGTGGATCGCCGGTGAACGAAGTCTGTGAAGGATTGGAAGTCTATCTTGAAGACTTACCAGAGTGATTGGGCGAGGTCTGTGTGACCTTAGCTCAAGGGGAATACGGTAAGGACTGAGTGTCCTGAGCTGCGTGTTCAGGACTGGGTGTCCGGGACTGTGTGTCCTCAGGTTTAAATACCTAGCCGCCCTAACAGACGTACAACTGTCACCGCAGTTGGAACTGGTCTACCAAACCTTTGTCTTCACCAAGCTCACTGGTTCTATCCTTCCCATCTCTTTATTTACAGTTGGTCCTTGTGAAGTCATTGCCTATTTGCATTGTTCATTTGTCTTCACTGTGTGACTGTTTGTTCAGATTGGTTTCATATTATCTTCCATCCTGATCCGTATTGCCTAGCTGCTGTTAGTCTTTGTGCTTTCACTTCATTGAATACTTGACTATGGCTTGTCTAGGGTAGTCTACCTTCCGCTGCATGGTTATAGGTTCATTTCTATCGTTTATCTTCAAAACTCCCATGTTTTGAAGACTGTCATAAAAATCGCCTATTCACCCCCCTCTAGTCGATATAACGCACTTTCAATTGGTATTGGAGCAAGGTACTCCCTTGTTCTGTGTGATTTTGGTTTAACCGCCTGGAGTTTTAGTTATGTCGACCACAGGAATGAAGACTGTGTCATGCCCCATCTTTGACGGTCACGAGTATCCCAAGTGGAAGGCCATGATGAAGAAGCGCCTCATGGCGATGAACATCGAGCTGTGGACCGTCACTGAGATTGGTCTGACCGATCTGTGCAAGATGGCGGAAGCTGATGACATTCGCAAGTACACTCTTCTCAACCTCACGGTGAAGGACGTCATCTGTTCCTGTTTGTCTCAAAATCAGTTCAGGAATATCATGCATATCGATCATGCGAAGCTTATCTAGGACCGTCTCTCTGAGGTCTATGAAGGTCATCAAACTCGTCATGATCCTTGGTCTGAGTACTTTAAGGAATCTCTCAAAGCAATGGCATTCGAACCAAAATCATCATCTTTTGCATCATGCCTTATGGCAAAAGATGCTAAGGTAACTGAATGCTATCTTTCTGAATCCAGTGATGATGAATCTGGTGATGAATTTGGACCCAACTATGCAAAACTTGCTTCCCTTGCCACTAAACAATAGAAAGCTATGGAACATATTCATAAACTGTTAGACAAAAGCGATGACCTGTTGGACGTTGAAATGACTCGATCTCAGTCCTTAATTGAAGACATAAAAAATCTTCATGTTAAGTATGAGGAACTTGAAAGTCGTCATGAAACGCTCTCAACAACTCATGAAAAGCTCTCCTATGATTATCTTCAAAGGAAGCAAGAACTAGAGAAATTGAGAGCGGCTCATGAAGATCTTCAAAAGGAAAACGAGTCACTTCGCGCTGAATAGATCAGTCCCGCTCAGGAAGGATTTGAACCACCATGTCTTAAATGCCTTGGGCGTGATGACGCTACTTCTGTTGCTGAATGTTCTACTGCTGCTATTGTTGCAATATCTTAAACTGTTGATGTGATAACTAACCTCTCTGCTGAGGATGCCACTGCTATTGCTAATGAGAATGCTAGGTTGAAGACATTGCTTGAAACAAGGATGTTCAAAAGTCTCAAAGGGCATCAGACACTATGTGATGTCCTCAAAAGGCAGATTCTAAACCGAAACCCTAGGAAAGAGGGTGTTGGGTTCGAAAGGAAAATGAATGCTGATGGCTCTTACTGGAAACCTGAGCAGTACCCCAAAACCACATGGGTTGCTGCAAAGGGACCTTCAGTGGATCCATCCACCCTATCTAGCTTCACTTGTGCTAGTCCCATTGTTATTAATGAATCCTTTGATGCAAACTATAAACTGTTTAAGAATCAGAATG